CATGCTTTAGTAATTCTTTCTATTTCAAAAATATATTGGTGCTAATATTTTTTTTTTTCTATGAAAGTGTTTATTGCTGTTAATTTTTCTATGAAAATTTATTACTGGAATTTTTAATATAAAAATTTTAAAATTTTTATAATGTTTTAACCGCAGTTTGGGGGTTCACTATTTGCCCATAGCTGGGACCCTAACAGGTGCTACCACCCCTGATCAGGGTAAATTTGGGAACAACAGTATTTAAGAGATAGTTCCACGCTCCTCATGACATCACGATCAGAGACCTTGCTACCGGATGTAGTTTATTGTCATACCCAGGACGTTAAGGAGATTGTCCAGCATTCAATGCTTATATAGAAATGATATTGCATAACATTTGTGTACTCTTTTTTTTTCTTCGTTTCCAACTAAAATTCGCTGTTTATTAATACTTTGCTTGGTTTTTGGAAGGCATCATTCTTTCAGCTTTTCCTGTCGCACGTTCCATCCTCTGTTAAAACATTTCCCTGTTAATTAAATAGCTGTACCTGTTTGAGTTTGGTATCTCCAATTTGTAATTTGCCCGTTGGATTGTTCCTTTTCCTAATAACCATGTATTCAGTCTTCTTGCAATTGATGCTCAGTACTTCCTTTCGCTTTTCTTCACTACCTTCTGTATGAATTCTTGTAGTTTACTTTTTGTGTTTTCTATCAACACTGTGTCGTCTGCATAACTTATGTTGTTAAGATTGTGGACGCCGAAAATAAATCCTGGTCGTACTTCTAAATCTCCCAGAATCGACTCGGATGAATAAGTCGAGTAAGACACATCCTTGTCTTACACTCTTTTATATTTCTGTATATCTGCTGAACTCATTGTCTATCCGTATTCAAGCAGTTTTCTGCTAGTATAGGTTCAGGATTATTTTGATATCATTTCCACATATGTCATGATTACCTAGTAATTCCAACCGTTCTTTGTTGTATATTTTATATAAGGTCTTTGCATAATGTATAAAACACGAGTACGCTAAAATAGAGTACTGTTGTCATATTTAGGCGGGAGCTACCCAGTTCTCACACCCCCAGCCCAAAAGCGTCCCTGAATTCTTGTGGGTGACAAATGATTTTCCAACCTCTCTCTGACAAGCGGGGTGTGACTAGCCTCTCGCTGCTATATCGCTACTTCCATGGAAAGTGTTCGGGGGGGACTACATTTCTTCGTTCTAAACTTCACAGCTCGCACCCACGATGCTACTCGCATTGTTGCAAATCAACTGCGTTCTCTCCGCGTCCTATTGAGAAGTTCTACTCGACCAGCTATGAACCACTGCTCTGTGGAGCCAACTCCCAAAACGATGTTTTCCCCGATCACAATATTAAACTGTTCAAGTCTAACTTTTTTCTCTCTTATCTGCATAAACTGCCTCTAAATGTAACTCTGTAGCTCGTATATTACTGCATTAAAAAAAAAAAACACTTAGACGATAATAGACACCTATCTGAGATGAGAATGACTACTGCTGAAGATGAAAAGGAAGAATTCTTAACAACCTCCAAGAATTCTCATAGCGAAGAATATCTTTCCCCCAAAACCAGAGAAATTTCTCATTTTAATGTATTTTCTACTGTCATCACCTAAGATAGGTCACTCCACTGATAGTTTCCCTCTTCTTGTCAAGCAAATATTTTTCGGGTACGAAGAAAATCGCGTCCTGGGTAAGATGATAAACTACGTCCAGCAGCAAAGCCTCTGATCAAGAGGTTTTGATGAGCGTGTAACCACATCTTAATTGCTGGTATTCTCAGGTTCACCCTGACCCGGGGTGGTAGCACCTGTTAGGGTCCCAGCTATGGGCAAATAGTTAACTATCACCAGCAATACGTTTTTGAAAAAAAATATTACCAGCAATACAATATTGAAGGACATATTTTACCAGAAACAGATTTTTGACAAAACAGAATATTACCAGTAATAAAAAAATGTTGTCGGCATTAAATAACCCATTGAGGTTGATATGCCGTAACACAAAATAAACCAAACCAATCATATTCTATTCATACGAATCTATCCTAAAAATGTTGTCGGCAATAAATAACCCATTGAGGTTGATATGCCGTAAAACAAAATAAACCAAGACAATCATATTCTATTCATACGAATCTATCCTAAAAAATTTGTCGGCATTAAATAACCCATTGAGGTTGATATACCGTTAAACAAAATAAACCAAACCAAACGAAGAAAATCACAAAGAACTGAAATCAATTCTGTTTGGAGAGAAGGGCTTCATATCAGTTAATTCTTGTTGTTGCTGCTGTCAAAATGAATCGTTTGATTGAAGATTCCACCATGGGTCAGTATTATGCCCTGTCGGCAGTCTAGAAAATGACTACATCGGCGAAGGAGTAAAAAGCCGCATCACCACCACACGATCTGGACAGGAATGACTTATTTTAAACTCTTCAACCTCTTTACCCACAGATGCAGCGTTGCAAGCCTGTCACTATTTCCATGGGAAATGTTCAGATGAGATCCACTCTTTCGTTCCACCTGTTCAGACCTATGCGTTGCAGCTAGGACCCACCATTCTACGTCCACAGTCTAATCACTCACATCTCCATATTCCACTTGCAAAGAGGACATTTCACTCGGACAGCTTTTCTCCAAAAAATGCCACTCTGTGAAATACACTCCTAAGTTTGAAAGCTTCCCTGACCACTACAATCTTAACCTCTCCAAGTCAAGGGTCAGTCGTTTTCTATCATCTTTATTTTCTTCACTTCCTTCTACATCCATTTACTCCTTCTTACATTCACAAACCCTCTACATCGAGCGGCCCTTAAGCCTTGTATTGAGTGAACCGCAGTATAAAAATTTTTCTCTGTAATTTTTATATAATTTCCATTAATAAACTGCTGACTTCTGAGTTAGACTGCCGCATCTTCTACTGAGTCAAATGCCTTCTCATAGTGATTTGTTATTTTCATTTTGTCTTGTTTTTTATCACTTCAACTGTTGTTTATAAATGGTCTGTAGTTGAGTAACCACACCTAATACCTGCCTGCCCCCGGAGAGCAATAATGAAAACAACATAGCTTCTTCTACTTCTGTGTGACATGTCCATTCAGGACGTGTCTGATCATGGCTCTCTACAATTTCCTGTCCTTTGTAGCTCTTAGTAAATTTTGTCTTTTTGCTATCTCTCCTAATCCCTGTCCTGCCAACCATTTACACAAGTTCGTTAAGTAAGTTATTCGCTGCTTTCCTAATGTGTCCTGTCCGTGTTAAATTTTCTAAGCTCTCCTTCCCTATTATATGCCCTAAAAATTTCAACTGTCTTTTTCTTATGTTAAGAATGTGCCATTTTTGCTTCCCTTTTCTGTAAGACCTCATTGTTGCTCACATATCCAGTCCATGATATTATCAGAATCTTTCTGTAGAACCACAATTGCCTCAAGTCTCTTCATCTGTGATGATATTGTCCCTCATTCACTTAGTGTAATAATGAGAGTTGAAAGCATATGAAATATCAACCACACCTAAAACCTGCCTGGCCCGTAAGTACTTTGAGAAGAGTTTGGTAAAATTCCTGACAGTGATAATGGACTTCAAGAGGAACTGTTTAACCAAAACTTTACGGTGATATGCTGTTTCCGTTCCAATGTCATCATGATTATCTATTCTATAAATCCAACAGAAATGTATAACGCTAACCGTTTCTCGATTTTACATTAAGAATTGTTCTCTTATTATCAATCTTTGGTTGTCAGTTTTCTTCATTAAAGATTCACCCTCGTGTCATTTGGTGGAATCGATGGACCATAAAGTTATTTTAATCCCCAGGGAGATGTTTTAAACACTGTGTTGACTTAGTAGAGCATATCCTTTGCTGAATGAACTTCTCCCGGGTGACTTTTAAATAATATCAGATTTAAAAAAAAACACATTTAATTACTTAAAAAATTAATTTGTTTATATTGTAGAGTAATTTTCACAGTGGAGGCTTGTATTTCACTAAATCTGTCCTAAAAGAGTCCGACGTACAAAACGTTAGGAACTTGAAATAAGAGATAATGACGCAGTAATCTAGTTGTGATGGTTGGTACTTCAATGTCCGATATCGTCTGACTCGCTCAACAACACTGAGCCAAACTGGCCACTGCGACTACTACTTATGTGTGGGAGAGTCTATTAATAATAGAATAGGTACGACCAGGCATGAGTTTACTTTTCAAAAAGACGAACAAATGCCAATATCGGAATAAAAAATATGCATTTCTCGTATAACTTAATTATTGCGTTGCTTTGCTATGATGGATTTTCGTAACTCAATGGAAAAAGTACACTTGATCTGAAAAGTGGTTTCTTAAATTTAAAATGGAAGAGAGTTTGGTTTCCTGTCGGGAGTCACATTTTCCTTTATGAGCACACAGAAATGTCATCATCATTACCTATACTACAAATCTAGCAGAACTGTATAACGCTGGCCGCTTCTTCATGTTACATCAAGAATTGTTTTCTTATCAATCTTTGGTTGTCTGTTGACGTTGTTTAACTTCGGTGATCGTACGTGAACCGGTGATTCAGCGTGATATGGCCGTAAACTTTTGACTGTGAACCTTATTGTTTGTTGGTACAAATGTGTAAATAGGGCGTCTATACTGAAATATAAATTAACTCTGGCTTAATTTTATTTTTTTCGTCGACAATAACAAATTACAATGAAAGTATTTATAGAAAAGGCACAGGGAAGCTAGATTACAGCAGTGGGAAATTGACTGTAGCCGAGATGCCTGGTCAGTACCAATCGATATTAATCACCCTTTTTTTAAAACAAAAGGGGGGCTTTTTAAGACTCTGGTCTGATCTACAGTAGGTCCTCACGCTAAAAAGACCTTGTGCCGCATTCGAAACAAGTAGACGCTGTATTAAATACCTTAATCCCACTGTTCAGAGGAAAAAACTGATGTTTATGCACACATTGTACCGACGAACAATAAGGTTCACAGTCAAAAGTTTACGGCCATATCACGCTGAAACACCGGTTCCCGTACGATCACCGAAGTTAAACAACGTCAAGCCTGGTCAGTACCTCGATGGGTGACCGCTTGGGGATACTAGTTGGTGTAACCTTGCAATTGTGAGTAGGCTAAGAGATAAAGAATCAGAGAGCAGTTTCAGTTCCAGTCAGGTTCGTTATTTTCACGTACACACAAATAGCCTTGGGAAAGGTAAGAATCCACTTCTTCTGCCCCTTAGTTTATAGTTTGATTCGTAGGACTTGTACCAGTAAGTCATTATAATAATAAAACATAAAATCTAAAATATTTTCTGACTTTAAATAACCTGCAAAATGTTAAGCCACAAAAAAAACAAATATTTAAATACAGTCCCAGGAAATATACAATGTGTGTGTTTTGGGAGGCAAAGGTCATCAGTTTAAGGTGAGAGGGCGTCTATATTTAAACATAAATTAACACTGGCTTAATTTTTTTTTTCGTCGACAATAACAAATTTTATGTTATTGTTTAGAATAAAACTAGTTTCGCAATGATACAAAAAGACGTTTCAGATTTTTATATTCATACAGACCCACATACACAAAAGCACATACATACATGCACACACACATATATATATATATATATATATATATATATATATGATTATTAGCGATAATTCCAAGGAGGATATAAATCTAGAGAGCTCAATGTAAGAAAAGAGTAATATAATAATGAATACAGAATCCTTAAAGATCCATCAGATCAGGTAATATTTTTTTTTCGTGGACCTCACTTCCATCTCTTTAGACCAATTTTTACATCAATAAATGGAGTCCAATTCATTCAGACACAAGGAAAAGGAATAATATATATATATATATATATAACTTTTTTCTATCCCAGTGTTCAAAAAATAAGTTGACTGAATGTTTTTTAAATTTTCAGCAGACAACGCAACTTAAACTTATAAAATCTAAATAATTAGTTTAAAACAATTGAGGAACGGTGTGTTTTTTTTTTTTTTTTTTAATTATTTAACTCCAAGCAATGGCTATAAAGCCACTAAGACGCAGCGGGCTGGGGGTTACTGAGTGTAAAAGAATATAAGAAAAAAGCATTAAGATTAATTGAAATAAAGATTGATATTGCATTGAAATTATTGAAGATCCAACTTGACTGAAATGCGAGAAAGTTCCGCGAGAAAAGAAGCTGTTAGCATAGAACTTAAGGTTACATCTAGCCAGTTCAACTGTAAAATGATGAGACCTTATCGCCAATCCAGTAGCTAATGTTTAGGTACCATAGAGGGAACTTCTTCAGAACAATTACAATGAAAGTATTTATAGAAAAGGCACAGGGAAGCTATATTACAGCAGTGGAAAATTGACTGTAGCCGAGATGCCAGGTCAGTATCAATAACATTGCTGATTCCTCTTTGGATTTTATCAAGGATCTCTAAACATATAGCAGGAACACCAGACCATATGTGGCAGTAATATTTAAATTATGGACGAATGGCAGTCTTAAAAAGAGGCAATATTCTGACAGGAAAAATTGTTTAGCGCAACACCGTAAATCAACTTTCTTAGCAGAAGACCTTAGCAGTTAATTCCAGATAATATTTCTACTTCATGTCAGTGGAAAGCGTTAACCCGAAAAAGTGCAATGAGTCTCGCTCCTGAAGGTTAGCATCAACCATACTGATGGGTGGCAAAATCGATTCACACTGACGATTATTAGAAAGCAGTTTTGTTCTGGAGGCGTTAAAATTAACAAGCCATTCCTTGAATACGTCACATCCACTCTTTCTTTAACTTTTAGCATCTCCGCCTAAACTCCGAAATTTTATTTACTTCTTTTTATTTTTAAAATTAATCTGTTATTATTTGTCTATAATATCTGACATGAGCTATTGTAATTATTTACACTATTTACATTGTTCGAACTGTTGTCCTCATATTTGTTGCCATATTTACGACGTATCAGCAGTTGTACGCTCCGACCTTCTTCAGGTGACTGGAATTTCGAACCGAGCCATTTATTTCGACAGTGGATAAAAGTATTGATTGAAGTAATTCAGTGAATTCACCCAAATAGTTGTGAGTTAAATATCTGGCTACAGCAGAGGTGAACAAAAACTTGGAAATTTGAGTTAAAGTGAAAATAACTGATACTGCGATATTCGAAAGTGGCATGGCTGTGGAACTAGAACAATCTACTTCAGTGAATGAAATAAAGAGTTCGGTTCTAAATTCCAGTTACCTGAAGAAAACCGGAGCGTACAACGGCCGATACGTCGTGAATATAGCAAAGATGAGGACAATAGTCCGAACAATGTAAATATTGTAAATTAATCTTTTACTTATTTTAAAAAAAAAAAAAATTTATAGGAGTAGATAGGTTCGCTTATCGTCCGGTTCATTTCTTACCCCTGTCTTTTGAAAAATAAATTAGATGCTAACACTTGTACTCTGTTTAATATTTGACTTCCGGTCCCTTTTCTTACTCTACTCATTCGCTTTCACTTCCAGTAGCCCCTTGAGTCTTGTTGCTATTGTCGCCTTCTTTGGGGTGAAATGATTAAAAAAAAAAATTTGGATTGTAAGAAGAATCCAAAATATGTTTCGTTTTTAAATAACCCACAAAGCCGTAAAAAGAAATCAATTTGTATCTGTTATCGATTTGTTCCTTTCTATCTGTCTGTTATACTTATGTAATTCCAACTTAACGTCCAAAGAAATATCAACATTCTCAATAACGCTTATTTAGGTGGGATTACTATAAGCTGTAGATTATAGCTTACGGTTATATTCGGTTGAATACGACAGTTCTTGTCCGATTACTGAAGTTAAGCAACATCAGACCTGGTCAGTAATTACATGGAAGACCGCTTTCAAATGCCAGGTGTAGTCAGCCTAATAGGGTAGCTCGAACTCGCTAACCTGCGAGGGCTTTATTTTAGAGGGTGGATTTTTCAAATCTCCGCTGCCTTGCGCCGAAAATATGGGATAGGCGGAGTTTTTTGCCGTAATGACTGCAGTCTGTCTTGGAGACGGAAATCTACGATATAAAACCATTTCGTGGTATAAAATTCAGGTTGCTGTCTGGCACGCGTAATTCAGTTTATGGAGGAGGAAAAACTTCTTTAAACTTGCTTGTGCTTAACTCTATCCAGTCTTGGTGTCGTGGTCTGGCACTCTCTTGTGAGCTGACTTAAGCCAGCACGGAAGGGTAGGCTCTTAAAACTAACATTAAAAATGTCGAACCAAAGATGTAAAGATAAGACAGCGCTATTTCTGGACCCACGTCATATAACCAGATTCCTATGGCAGCGCCGTTCAGGGTATCACTCAGCAACGTTAAAAGCCGAGCTCTTTCGAAAGAAATATTTCGTGTTTGTGCGCAATCTGCCATAGGTGGAGATAGAAAATGATGACCATAATCTGTACAGAACTCTGAGTCATTACAATGCGTACTGAGAATTTACTTGTACGTCAGAAGTGATAGTAGTGTAACCGAGTGATATGCACTAGCCTATCCTCGGTTACATGATATGCACTAGTCTATCCTCCGCTACATGATATGCACTAGCCTACACTCGGCTACATGATATGCACTAGCCTACACTCGGTTACATGATATGCACTAGTCTATCCTCGGCTACATGATATGCACTAGTCTATCCTCGGTTACATGATATGCACTAGCCTATCCTCGGTTACATGATATGCACTAGCCTATCCTCGGTTACATGATATGCACTAGCCTATCCTCGGTTACATGATATGCACTAGCCTATCCTCGGTTACATGATATGCACTAGCCTATCCTCGGTTACATGATATGCAATAGTCTGCCCTCGATTACATAATATGCAATAGTCCTTTTCAGGACTAACCTAGCCGCGTCCTTTTATTAGGACTACCAAGCTGCGATCCTGCACGACAGTCTACCCAAGGACGAACTGACTACACCACAGCACTGTCCGCGTCGATCCTCTCTCTCTGCAAGCGCCGACGCGCCCTTTACTCAAGTACAGACATCCAGGGATCGACTGGACCTCGAACATTGCTGTTCCATTCGGCCTACTTCCAAGCTGTCGCCTTGAAACCTGACAACGCTCCTTCAAGACTACACGACCGAACTACTACAAACGATTATCTGTATATATTCGTGCCAGATTTATTTAATAAAATTTGGCTTAAACTTTTACATCCTCGTTTTTGTTGTCCTTGCTTCGATCGTATTACCTTATATTATTTTTCCGTTTGCGGGGTTAACAGTCAACCTGCTTAGCGCCGCAACAGTAGCATGCAAATAAATAAAAAAAAAGTCATAACATCGGGCAAAATAGTGGACTTTTTACGTGTTCTCTTTTGTTTGTTTGTTTCTATCGGAAAGATAACGCTTGACTCTAGAATTGAATAGGTTAAGATTGTAATGGTAGGAGAAGTATCCTCGCGGGAGTCTATTCCTCAATGTAGCGATTCTTGGGATTTGAGTTTTTTGTTTTCTTTTTTGCGGTTTATCAACCCTTTGTGGGTTATCTAATGCCGAAATATTTTGTATTATAAGGTTTTTATTTATTTATTTTTAATTAATTTTTAAAACTTTTTGCAAGTGAATATTTTCATTAACAATTATCTTGAGAATAACAAAACATTTTATAGATGCAATTACTACTATTTAATTCATATGGCGGTCGGAGGAGATGGATTCTTACCTTTTCCAAGAGTATTTTTGCATAAAGAAACTCTACTGGAATTCGAACTCGACTCTCCAAATATTCTGAACCATTACACCAGCCGCACATCCTAGTCGTTCTTAAGAAGGAACTCTTTAAATGGAATTTCATTATTACTAATGGAATATGAATGCAACTGAGATGATTCTCCCCTGTACACATGACATTGCGGGTTGTAGTTGTGAAGGTCTGAACTGGTGGAAATGATGAATGTACCTCGTCATTTTTATTTTTATAATTATTACAGGATTTGACGTTGGGTATTATTAAACTAAAATTGATGCTCTGTCCTCGATATCGAGTTCTCCTCTCCTATAAATATAGCGCGCTTTAAACAATATAAAGACGTGTGGGGAGTGTGTCGGTTATCAAGGCTTTTTCTG